TACCTGCGCCGCTTCTGCTCCCGGCTCGGCCTGGGCAACCAGGAGGTGCGCGACGCGCAGGAGGCCGTGCGGAGGGTCGAGGAAGGGCTCGACGTGCGCCGCAACCCGGAGTCGGTCGCCGCCGCCATCATCTACATGGTCGTGCAGCGTGCCGGCGCCAGCAGGTCCGCCAAGGACGTGTCCGTCGCCACCGGCGTTGCCGAGGGCACCATCAAGGAGGCGCACAAGGACCTCGCCCCGCACGCCCAGATGCTCTTCGGCTGAGCCTGAACGCCCACGACATTAACGCTTTTTCTAGCTTGATTGCTTGGCAGGTCCTTGGCACATGCATGCATGTTTGCCATGTCCACAATCCCAAACGTGTGCTGTTCTTGGCAACTATCTTAGTCTTGGGCATGTGAAGTTTATGTTGGACTTCGTTTCGAAGTTCTGAATCATTCGTGAATGAGTCTGTGCTTAGTTCGTTTGATCCGACTAAACTCATGAACCGAGGTCTCACACACGGTTGCCAAGTATGTTAATCATGAATTATAATGGTCTCATGAACTTGAGGCTAATAATTTCGAGGGCTCGACATTTTTCACCAAAAATTCACCCTTTAAAAGAACTTTATGTTCCGGTGAAAAAGGCGGCGACAGTCTCAAAGAAGGGAGTGACGCTTCAATACCGGCTAGGTGCAAACAAATTTTGAATTTTGCTTGAATCTTGTTGAAATTAAAACCAGAATGGCCAGATTAAAAACTGAAATTGGTGATTTCAGAGCCTTTTATAGCCCAACAAAATTCCTAAACCACAATTTGAATAACTTCTAAAACAAAACGGCATGGCAATGTGATGTATACTCTTGCCGTATCATTTGACTAATGTTCAGATATACATATGGCAAAGTACCGAAATAATCTTTTTTTTTGCAGGTACCGAAAGAATCTTTTGGTGTTATACACCAATTGAAAGAATCTGACCATGTTGTTTTCACGGTGGCAGGAGGGATCCTGAAAAATATAGAGGGAGTCAAGTACTATGTTTTGTACTCAACGACAATTAAAATGGACCGGAGGGAGTATTAGAAATGTTGATATTCACTACACCAAACAGTGTACATGACCAATTCAATTATTTCTGAAACATGGTTGCTGAGTACACTACTCGTGAATGATCCCATGAATGTGACATTAAACTTGGAGGACTAGCATTTTTCACCAAAATTGATTTTAATGAACCTGGGACAACATGTCTTGGTCAAAAAAGAGGCGACACTAAAAACCAGGTTCGATTCAAACACAAATTCAAATTTGTTTGGATCCTATTGAAATGAAAATCGAAATATCCAAGATTAAGAAATCAATGATTTACAAAATCTAGATCCCACAACTTGAATGGCTTGTAATATGTGTTGGCATTGAACTATGACATACATTCCATCCCAATCATCTAACAAATGTTAGAATCATCTGTTGTTTAACCATAGATTTAATTGCAAAATCCGCTTTTTTATAAAGACGTCATTGTATCAAATGGCTCTTACATGGTCGTGGAGCATCAGATTGAAAGTTTGCCCCCTGTTTTCAGGCATGGTGGTTTTGAAAGATGAAAAGAACACTCAAGTTGAATAGTTGAGGTACAAGCCTTATACAGTTCGTTTCAATACTCATCAGATGGGTACATATACATACACTAGTAATATGCTAGTACTCCTTTTGCATTTCGAAGCACTAGTAATAGAAATTTGATTTCTCCAAGCACAGCCTCATATCAGATGACTATGGAGAAGTGTGCCAAGGATGGAAGGCGAGCTCATGCTTTTTTTTATGAGTACATGAAACACTAGTGGAGAAGTCTACATGATTAAGAGCTCCTTTATTTAGTTCCGCCATCGCCGCGCCAAAGCGAAGACGTCGAATGACCTCGAAACCTAAGCTACTAGGGCACTAAAACCTAAACTACACGACCACATGTGCGGGACCCGACTACCCCCTCATCACCGGTCATTGGCAAAGAACACCGGCGGACCTAGTGCGTGCCGTGACACCCAAATTCTGGTTTTCGTTTTACCGTGTTTTTTTTTGAAGTAAAACTGCGCAGATCTGATAAAGGCCCAGCCAATTAAAATGCATTCAACAGCCCAGGCCCAACAGTCCACTTCTCTCGAACTCTCTCCTCAGTCCTCCCAGAGACGCAGAGGCAGACACGAGCGAGAGCCGAGAGACCTAAGGGCATCTCCAGCCGTTTGCCCTCGCAGGAGGCGTTTTTTTCGCCTCCTGGGGGGCTGCCGGCGAGAACTTTGGCCTGGGGGGCCAAAATTTTTCACTCGTTACCTCCCCACGAGAAGTGTTGGACTCCTCACAAATGGAGCGGCATTTCGTCGAGCACCTTGACCGCGGCAGCGTCGACGACCTCTAGCCAGCGGAGGAGCACGCCCCTGAACTTGCTCCCGCCGCCGCCAGCCCCCCGCTTGCCCACGCCGCCGTTCTTCACGAGGCTCGTGGCCGAGCACTCCTCCCCCTCGCTGCTCGACCCGGTCGTCGCCGCGGCCGCAGCGACAAACTCGCAGCTGAGGCACCCGTCCACGCCGCACCTGGCGCACGCAGCAGCCGCAGGCGCCGGAGCGGGAGCGGGAGCAAAGGGCGGCGTCGACAGCTCCGGGCGCAGGGCGGGGGCCGCGGTGTCCCCGGACACGTCGGAGAGAACGGAGGAAGAGGGAGTTCTCCTGCTCGGAGTTGGGGAGCTGGAACCCGCTGCCGCCGCGCTCCAGCCTTGGCACCATGGCGATGTCGAGTCCTGCGGTGGCGGGAGGCGGCGAGCGGGGAGGGAGGCAGGCGTAGGGCGGCAAGCGGGGAAGGAGGCGTGGCGACGGCACGCGACAGCCAGGGCGAGGCGTGCGGCGAGCAGTAGCGGCAGGCGGTGGGCTCGAACTGGCTGACCACCGGCGTGCACCGCCGCCCGGCCTCTTCTTGTTCTTCTTCCGCGGCGTCATAGAGTACTGGGCCGGAGCCTCCTCCGCCTCCAGCAAGTCGCGCTCTGTGGCGGTCCTCGGCAGCACGGCCGTGGGCGACGCCTCCTTCTCCGTGACGCCCTCTGCGCACGCCTTGGGCGCCTTGCGCTGCTGCATCGCCGACGCGCGGCCGGTGTGCCTTGCGCTGCTGCATCGCCGACACTTGGAGGAGGTGCTGCGGGATACGGCCAGCGCCCGCCCCGTCCTCGCCCGTCCCGGCCACGCACGGCGAGCTCCAGCCTCCGAGCCTAGAAGTCGCCGAGGAGAGAGGGAGTGTGGGCTGGAGAGGAGAGAGAGGGAGTGTGGCTCGCACATGGGTGGGCCTGGAGAAGATAAAGGCAGTTGGAGACACTGACTGGTGGACCATTTGCATGCAAAAGTGAGTGCCGGTGTCCCCAGCTGCCCTCCGGGTTGTTGGGATTCGCCTGATATCGTCGGTCGTGTTTTTGAATAAATCCAGCG